ATAAACAAAACTAACAAAAAATTCATTAAAGGTCTTGACAACGTTAGGAAAGATAGAATGGAATTCAAAGAATTAAAAGAGACATTCAGGGAATTACAAAACACAGCAGAAAGTTTCAGCAACAGATTAAACCACGGAGAAGAAAGATTTTGAGAGCTTGAAGACAAGGCCCTCAAGCTAACCCAGTCCTTTAAAGTGGCAGAAAAGAAGAGAATAAAGGGAGAGTAATCTCTTACATTGATTTGGGACTATGGAAACAAAAATACATTAATTATAGGTATCCCTAAGAGAGAAGAATCAAGTCTCAAAAGCATGGACTCTCTAGTTAAAGATATTATTGTGGAAAATTTCCCAAACATCATCAAAAATTCAGACATCCAAATACCAGACAGACATTGAACTCGGGGAAGACTCAACATAAAATATCTCCAAGACACATTGTAATTGACCCGGCCAAAGTCAAAATCAAAGATAACATTCTACAAGCAGATAGGCATAGGCAACATCTGACCCACAAGGGTAAACCCATCAAGATTCTTCCATGGAAACCTTACAACTGTCAACCTGGCACTTTGTATCCTGTAAAATTAAGTTTCATATGTGATGGAGAAAATAAATCTTCTCTTAACAACAGACTTGGAGGAAATTTGCCACAACTACCCCTGTCCTGCAGGAAGTACTCAGACCCACATTACACATAGACCAGCATTACACATAGACCAGCACAATAAACTACCACCAGGGTAAAACTACCCAGAAACTAAAGGTCAAAGCTTAGCCACCACGATGGCGCAAGATAAAAACAAAACAACAGAGCCCTGTACAACAGGACTAACAGAAAGCCACCACTTTTCAATTCTCTCCATAAATGTGCATGGCTTGAACTCTCCACTGAACAGACATGAGCTGGCTGAATGGATTTAAAAAACACAAAAACACAAGCCGGTCATCTTTACAAAATGGATCTAACCCCCAAGCACACATTCAGAGTCAGGGTGAAGGGATGGAAAACAATAGTCCATGAAGAGGGAAACTAAAATAAAGCAGAACTTGAAGCTATCATCATGGATATCATTGATTGCAAAGCAACAAAAGTAAAGAAAGATCAAGAAGGGCATTATACATTGCCCAGGGGTATAATTCAACAAGAAGACATATCAATCCTCAATATTTATGCACCAAATTTAAGTGCACCCAGATTTATAATGCAAAATCCTACTGGATCTAAACAAAATGATTAGCACCAACACTGTAATAGCCAGGGATTTTTATGCTCCACTGATATAACTGGACAGATCATCCAAGCAGAAATTAAACAAAGAAACACTGGGCTTAAACAATTGGGCCTAAAAGACATTTACAGAATACCACCCCAATATTATTGAATATAGATTCTACTCCTCAGCCCATGGATTACTCTCCAGTATCAATCACATCCTCAGCCATAGAACATGTCTCAAAAAATTTTAAAAAATAGAAATTATGCCATGAACCTCCTCAAGACCACTGTGGAAAAAAATTGAAATCAATTCCAATAGGAGCACTCATACTCACCCAAAGTCATAGAAACTAAACAAATTATCACTAAATCTTACCTTAGAATTGTAAACAATGGAACCTAAACATTTGTACCCTCATATTAATGTGAAATTTAAAAAAAATAAAATAAATAATAGTTGAGTCATGGAGGAGATAAAGATGAAAATCAAACAATTCTCAGAACTAAATGGCAAGGGGACCAAAAGCTTTCAAAACCTGTGGGATACTGCCAAGGCAGTCCTGGGAGGAAAAGTCATTGCCTTAAATTCCCACATCAAAAAATCAAAAGATCACAAATCAACAATCTAATGAATCATCTCAATGATGTCCCAATATATTTTAACTAATCTTAACACAGGCTGCTTTTAATAAGTTCTGATTCATCTCTTGCCACCCCCTACCTTGAACTCTATATACTCTAACCAGACTGAAATACTTCGGTTTCTTCAAATAAGCCATGTGACTTCTTGCTTCTGTTCTCTTCATGAGCTATCTTCCCCACCTGGAAGCCTTTCCCTAGCCTCTCCTCTCTCTCTATCCCAGCTTAGCTAACTCCTAGTCAGGATTAGATGGCACTTTCTCCATGAACACTCCTGTGACTGCACAAAATGAGACCATTGCCCCTGCCTTCTGACTTTCCTGTGTTTCCCACTAGACTGAAAGCAGGAAACGAGTCTAACTTACTATTCCATCCCCCAGTACACAGCATGTGAACATATATTTGTTATGTGAATGATCACTGTGGATAGTGATGTATTTTAATCATGACATAATAGGTGAATATGATTTAAAATATAAGAATGCTATCGTTGTGATGATATAGTTCACCGTAAGGCAGAAACTTCCCGAGTTGGGCAAATCACAGGGAAGAATAGACAAGTGACAGCTCTAGAAGCCAGTACTTTTCCACACGGAGGAAATCACACAACGTCAGAGGATAAACCTGTTTTAGGTAGAGCATTATTACTCTTGGTGCTACTGCAGTAGCCACTTACCCAATGATACAGCTTTAAAGAGCCTTTCAAAACACCAAGAAACTAGCTTTCCTGGGGACAACCCACATTGTGGAATGGGGGAGGGGCATTACAGATAATAAATGCTATGCTTAGAGGCAAAGCATTGAGTTTTGGGCCTGGAAAGCAGAAAGTCCTAGGAAAACATCTACCATTAGCCCCTCACACAAATGTCCCTACTTAGGATGTAGACGAAGATATTCTGCCTCTTTCCACCTCCCCAGAACCCCACAAAATCCAACACTTGGTATTAAACATTCGCATACACACACTTCACTTACAACATAAAAATCACCAAGCTGGTACTGTTTTCCTTTTCTTCGTCCACACTGATGACTATAAATGCTTTTTTGAATAAAAGGCAGTACATTTGTTCTAGAAGTTAAATGAAAAAAAAAAGTAGTTATTTAGCTTCTCTCAGGATTATTTTGAGAGTTCTAACAATGTTTAATGGCATACCTGTTTTTCCCAAATTGTCGGTATTCATAAACTGTAAGGGATTGGTCATAAGTAAAAAAGAACCCGATCAGCTCTCTACAAGCATCGCGTCCATTTCTAGAAAAAATAGAATGATATCAAATGTTCTCACATAGAATAATTTCAAATTAAATAATAAATTAAAATGGTGCATCTCAAAGAGGGAGGTGGCAATGAGTGAGGGTTATGCAAAGCTGTAGGGAAAACACGATACAGCTTGCGGAGGTGTCAATCAAAGATAGACTCAAATAGAGGAAAGCCTTTATCTTACACTGATATGAATATAGATATGCTACAAGGTAGAAGAGGAATACCTGAAAATAAGTTGAGCTGGCAAGGCACTCAAAGATATATGCCTATTATCTTTTATTGCCATAGAAAAGTTTAAAATTACTGAACAAATATGATAATTTTAAAATACATTTTACCAGAAATATACACAAAGAACATCAAGTAGCATTATGTGTTATCAAATGTTTATGAGACTGAGATAACAAATTTTCCTTGTAACTTGTTGCATCTGTCAATAATCTACTGTTATATCATTAAATAAAATTAAATAAAGCAGCTTATATAGTATAAAGGTTAATTTTTAGTTCAGAATCTTTTACTAGTAATAGATACATCTTTTTAAAAAATCACTTCTAGACCAAGTGTGGTGGCTCACACCTATAATCCTAGCACTCTGGGAGGCCAAGGTGGGAGGACAGTGTGAGCATAGGAGTTCAAGATCAGACTGAACAAGAGCGAGACCCCATCTCTACTAAAAACAGAAAAATTAGCTGGGCATGTTGACATGTGCCTGTAGTCTCTACCACTCAGTATGCTGAGGCTGACGCAGAAGGATCACTTGACCCCAGGAGTTTGAGGTTGCTGTGAGGTAGGCTAATGCCACGGCACTCTAGCCTGGGCAGCAGTGTGAGACTCCGTCTCAAAAAAAAAAAAAAAAAAAAAAATTAATTGATTAAAATAAATAAAAATTAGGTACCCATAGCACAGCGGTTACGGTGCCAGTCACATACACGCAGGCTGGCAGGTTTGAACCCGGCCCGGGCCATCTGAATAACAATGACAACTGCAACAAAAAAGTAGCTGGGCATTGTGGTGGGCACCGTAGTCCCAGCTACTTCAGAGGCTGAGGCAAGAGAATTGCTTAAGCTCAAGAGTTAGAGAGGTTGCTGTGAGCTGTGATTCCATAGCACTCTACCAAGGGTGACATAATGAGACTCTGTCTAAAAAAAATAAATTAAATTAAATAAATAAAAATAAAAATTCAATTCTAAGTTTCTTTCTAGAAGACAGTTCAGAAGTGATTTCTTAAATTTTTAATTGACAAATAATTTTATTTATTATATTTTTTTTATTGTTGGGGGTTCATTGAAGGTACAAGAAGTATCACACACTGAGCGCTCACCCTAGAAATGATTTTTAAATAATTTTTAATTAAAATGTTTTTCTTACAGGTTCATATTTCCTATATTTTTATAATAGTTTAATGACTACTACATAAAAATATTTTTTCTAAATTCACATTTTTTCATTTAAATGATACAAATTCATATAATCTTACTATAACTTCTATTTGCAAAGAAAATACACATTTATAATCATAGGATTAAAATATTTAATAAAAATCACAATTACCTTGATATGATCCTACCATCAAATTGTACTTTATGAGAAAGCACATTTTCAGTTAATGTAGAATGGGTTTTTATCCTGTTAAGAAATATATTTTATCAATAATTTTTAAAGATACTTACATTTGACATAAATGATAAACATACCAAAAAATGGTTATGTTAATATTTTGAAATAGCACAGATTGGATAAAGAAGACACAACTCTTTTTTTCGCATTGCTAATTGTAGCAAACACAAAAGAAACATAGTATATAATACACGAATGATATTTATGTTAGGATCTGTAGTATCAAAGGGCTATTAAAGTAAATATTGAACAGAGACAGCACATCTGTGACTGGCATGTAGCAGGGCCACATAAAAGCTATTTCTAGCCCTCTTCTCTTTTGCCTCCCTCCCACCCTAGAATTTGCTATTGGCCTCTTGTAATGCAGGGAGATGAAGGGAACCAGTCTGCAAATTGGCTTCCAAGAAAGATTTCTTTTGTCCCAATAAGAAAGTGGCAAGGGAAGAGTTCCTGCCTGTGAATGTGGTGGGGATGTGGTGCTGGCAGGGACATGATGCTAATGGCCACAGCACCCATCAGCCACCATGTCAGAAAGGCCAAAAAGATGCAGGGAAGCCAGTCCAAAGCTGTCACATCACTGAGCCACTGAACAAAAACCAGTAATGGCAGCTAATTATATAAGAAAAATAAATTCTTTCTTGTTTAAGCCACTATCAGTTTTCAGTGACAGACAGCCGAAAACTGAATAGGGACAAAGGTGCTTTAGGGGAGATAGGAGAACAGCCCGGCCTGCTGCATAGAAGTCTGGAGAGGCCAGGGAAACATTATGGGAACACTGTGACTCAAGTGACCAAGCACATGCTGAACAAAATATGGTAGAACAGTGCACACCACAAATACCCCAAGTATTATAAAATCAGCAGCTAGCTCAGCACTCAATAATTTTCACCAATTATTGCAAAAAGAATGTGGATGTGAGATAACCAAGGTGATCAATGACCAATAGAAAAGGACAAAGGTGCCTGCAGAGGAGGTAGAGAGACCAATGAAGGAGTCACACAAATAATTTCCGTGGGAGAGAAGGAGGATATTTACATGCTACAACTTTACACTGCCTTTGTGTCTTCTCACTCAAGAGAGAGACCCATTTCCACCTCTCTAGAAGTGCACTAGACTTTCTCTATGCTTAAATAATCTTTGTCTTGGTTATGCTAAAGCTTGTGCAAATTTACTTTTGCCTTCTATTCATGCTGCCAGCACTGCTCTGGATTTTCTTTTGGTTTCTACTCACTTTCTCTTTCTATTTGAGCTTTGTCTCAGTTGAACTTGCTAATTCCACAGGTCAGCTGGGTTCCAGGAACAGGATCCCATATCCAAACAAAAACACTCCTTACCAAGATGTCAGAATAGTGGAGAGAAGTTCTGGATGAAGTTTGAACCCTGTCATAGGTCAATGGTTTATTTAAACTTTATGAACTTCAGATACTACCAATTGATCTCACAAAAGCTGCCAACCCTAAATTCTAACAACATGAAGCAAAACTCAAGCAGAATGTCTGGCTCCCTACTGCCAATAATCTATTTTATATTACAAGATTTGAAGATTCAATGATACATCTTTCCTTTTCTTTCCAAATAATTTTATGACATTCCTCCCAAAGACTGCAGGTGTAATGAAATGGCAATAAATAGTAGGTAAGTATGTGGGTCACTGGGATCTATACCGCTATAAAACCTAGGTGTCTACAAAAGAAAGCAGGACACGAGAAAGAGGCTGTGGACCAAAGGAGAGTTTTTGAACACCGAGTACAGCCATGAAAGTTTAGTCATCTGGATTCAACTTAACCCACCAGGAATAATGTGTTTACTAAACGTCCACTATGTTCCTGGAACAATTCTAAATGCTGAGAAAATAACAGCTGCAATAACAGCTCCCATTATCGAGAACTTCCTGGACACTAGTTATCGGTAAAATCACTTTAATGTGCATTGGTTTATTCGACACTTGCATTTCCTCTGAGGTCAGTACTATTATCCCCAATTTACAGATAAATTTCAGAGAAAGATCAGTAAATTGCCTGAAGCCATGGGACTAGTAAATGGCAAAATTTGAAAAAAACCTTCCAGTTGGGCGGTGCCTGTGTCTCAAGGAGTAGGGCGCTGGCTCCATATACTGGAGGTAGCAGGTTCAAACCTGGCCCCAGCCAAAAACTATAAAAAAAAAAAACCTTTCCACTTAACCATTACTTTATATTACTTTTCAGTGATGAACAGAATTTGGTTTAACAATGCTAAGTGGAAGTAATAGCTACAGTCTGCATAAAAAGATAAAAGAAGTAAATATGTGTTTACATTATAAAATGCAAAATGCCATGTTGGGTTTTAGGTGAACCAGTAAATGGCACAAATAATTCTAAGTTCCCAGCAAACACAGAAGAATCAGGAACACTGAAGACCAAAACATGAATTTTATTATTGATGAAGCTGTTAGAAATCATGATTTAGGACTACTTTTTCCAGCTACGCTGCTGCGGCCGCCGAGGAGAAGAATGGCCTTGAAACAGATTTCCAGCAATAAGTGCTTCGGGGGATTGCAGAAAGTTTTTGAACATGACAGTGTTGAACTAAACTGCAAAATGAAATTTGCTGTCTACTTACCACCAAAGGCAGAAAGTGGAAAGTGCCCTGTACTGTATTGGCTGTCCGGTTTAACATGCACAGAGCAAAATTTTATATCAAAATCTGGTTATCATCAAGCTGCCTCAGAGCACGGCCTTGTCGTCATTGCTCCGGATACCAGCCCTCGTGGCTGCAATATTAAAGGAGAAGATGACAGCTGGGACTTTGGTACCGGAGCTGGGTTTTACGTGGATGCCACTGAAGATCCTTGGAAAACTAACTATAGAATGTACTCTTATATAACAGAGGAGCTTCCCCAACTCATAAATGCCAATTTTCCAGTGGACCCCCAAAGGATGTCAATTTTTGGCCACTCCATGGGAGGCCATGGAGCTCTCATTTGTGCTTTGAAAAATCCTGGAAAATACAAATCTGTGTCAGCGTTTGCTCTAATTTGCCACCCAGTGCTTTGTCCTTGGGGCAAAAAGGCCTTTGGTGGATATTTAGGACCAGATCAAAGTAAATGGAAGGCTTATGATGCTACCTTTCTTGTGAAGTCCTATCAAGGTTCTCAGCTGGACATACTAATTGATCAAGGAAAAGATGACCAGTTTCTTTTAGATGGACAGTTACTTCCCGATAACTTCATAGCTGCGTCCACAGAAAAGAAAATCCCTGTTGTTTTTAGATTACAAGAGGGTTATGATCACAGCTACTACTTCATTGCAACCTTTATCGCTGATCACATCAGATATCATGCAAAATACCTGAATGCATGAAAAACTTCAGGGTTATCAAAGATGTAAAAACAGTATTGCCAACTACAAAAGGATTTCAAAACGTTGGATTTTATAATGCTAGAAGAACTTTATTCTGTGGTTTAATCACGTTCTGAATAAAGATATAAAACTTCTGATTTAGGAAAAAAAAAAAAAAAAGAAATCATGATTTAAGTTCATGGCAACAAAAAGCTAGGTCCTTAATGCTAGAATTAGAGACAGACCTGCTCATGTGCACCAGGTAGGGACTCTGGAAAACTCAATGCACAGGGCAGAATGTGTGCTCCAGTAGGCAGCTGCCTCCCCAGAGAGACAGGATAATACCGATGCCGGAAAATAGATAGATGAGACTGAAATCTAGAAACCAAGTCTTCATTCACAACAACTTGACATACGATACACAAGGCATTACAAGTGAGAGAGAAAATGACTTTGGAGTAGAGAGAGATTTCTTACAGACACCAAGAACATTAACATTGTCCCCATAAAGGAAAATTGGTAAACTGGTCTACATGAAAATTAGAAATCCGAGTTTCTAATTTTATTCTTTAAGAAACACATAATCAAGAGAATGAAGAGGGGACCGCAGAGTGGGAAAAGATGTGTGCAACAAATATAGCTGGAAAAACCTCATGTCCAGAATATATGAGTAATATCTACGATCAGTATGAGAGAGACAACTCAACAGAGTTCACTATGAAGTACTCAACTACATTGGTCTCCGGTGGATGCAATTAAAATCACCAGTACACATCCATGGGAAGAACTAAAATGAAAAAGGCAATATCAAAGCCCTGCCAAAGATGTGTACAACCAGAACACTCAGATTGCTACTGGTGGGAGGGCAAATTGCCGCGACCAGTTGGAAAACTATTTGGCAGTATCTTTTAAAGTTGAACATATGTGACCTACTCCTAAGTAAATACTCAGCAGAAATGATTACATATGTTCACCATAAGGCATGCAGAAGAAAGTTCATGGCATCTCTGTTCATAAATAGCCGAACATCCATCAACATCTCTGAATAAATAAGTTGTGCATATATGTGTGTGTGCATGTGTGTGTATGCAATTAAATAGTGTATAGCAGGGAGGAAAAAAAGACAACTAAAACTTTAAAAATGGAGAAATTCAGAAAGATAACGTTGAGTAAAAGAGGGCAGACAATTCTCACTGTGTGTATTTAGGAACACCGTGGAGTACGTCTTCAGTACACACAGGTAAATACATACACGGAAGCCAGACACAGACAGTCTAAATCTCTGACTTCTTTCATGTAACGTTCATAGCCAGGTAGCTCCAATTTGTGACGCCAGCACAGAGAGCTTAACCTGGATGGCAAAGGAAAGGAACAGCGATGGGGAGGCAGCGCACAGGAGCTGGGTGCTGGTAATGTTCCAGGGCTCATCTAGCAATTTGGCATATTGATGTTGCTCACTATGTGATAATCCCTATGCTGTAAACATAAGATTTTTACATTTTGTGAATGCATGTTTCATTCTATAATCATAAAAGTTTACTTTAAGAAAGGAAAGTTTAGGCTCAGCGCCTGTGGCTCAACTGGCTAAGGCGCCAGCCACATACACCTAAGGTGGCGGGTTCGAATCCAGCCCAGACCCACCAAACAACAACGAGGGCTGCAACCAAAAAATAGCCGGGCGTTGTGGTGGGCGCCTGTGGTCCCAGCTACTTGGGAGGCTGAGGCTGAGGCAGGAGACTCGCTTGAGCCCAGGAGTTGGAGGTTGCTGTGAGCTGTGAAGCCACGGCACTCTACCCAGGGGGATAGCTTGAGGCTCTGTCTCAAAAAAAAAAAAAAAAAAAGAAAGGAAAGTTTAGCTGTGTGGTAAATATTTGATGCCCCCCCACACACACCGAAGTTGTCTACATTCTAATCCTGGGAACATGTGAACATATTACCTTACATGGTAAAAAGGACGTGGCAGGTGCAATTAAGTTAAAGCTCTTAAGATGGGAAGATTACCAGGATTACCCTGGTAGATTCAGTGCACTCACACATTTTTAAAGATTATTTATTTATGTATTTATTTTTAGAGACAGGGTGTCACTGTCTGGCCCAGGGCCACAGGGGTGCACCACCACATCCAACTAATCTTTTTTTATTTTTTTTTTATAGAGATGGAGTCTCACTGTGCTTCCCAGCCTAGTTTTGAATTCCTGTCCTCAGGTGAGCCCCCTGCCTTGGCATCGCAAAGAGCCAGGACCACAGGTGCAAGCTATTGCACCCAGCTCACTCATACCTTTATTAGAGAAAAGCAGAGGGAGAGGTAGCTACAGAAAGGTGTCCAAGTTACGTGGTACGGCGAAGTCTTGACCTGCCATCACAAAACTTCAAAGATGGAGAAAGAAGCCATGAGCTAGGCAATGAAGACAGACTTTAAAAGCTTTTCTTTGAAAGGCAAGAAAACAAATTCATCCCTGAAACTTATAGAATAAAAGTAGTGCTATCAACACCTTGATTTTAGGCTCCTGAGCTCCAGAACTATAAAAGAATAAATTTGTGGTGTTTTAAAATATTAAGTTTATGGTAATTGTTACAGCAGCAATAGGAAATTAATTTGATGCCTTTAAATATTTAAATCTATAAAAGGTCTCAGAAAGCAAGAATGAGATAAAAAGATGAAAATGATCAGAAAGTACTAATAATTAAATATAAAAGAGCTATGATAGGTACCAGTAGATTTTCTATGTCTGTTAAAGCTGAGGCTAGATGTCTGTTGTCAATGAGGTTGATCAGGAATGCAAGCGGACTGCATCATAGGACTCTAGAAGTCCATGCCTACCCAAGTAATTTACATGTTACAAAGTAAAATGCAAAAAAAAACCTCAACAACTGCATAAGTAATACTTATTTTTAATATATAAACAAGATTTAGCATATATACATTGTACACCTATAAATGTCTCAGTTACTATATTATAAATTTCACACATATTATCTCTGAAGGTTGTGAATTTTTTTTCCAAATTACAAGTGAAAAATCTAGAGAGAAAAGAGAGCAGAATGGGATATTGCCCCCAATATCTAAGATAGCAAAACTGGAAACCTAAACTTCAAAAGTTCCATTTCTCCTTATGTATTAAGAAAAGCAAAAACACAAAAGCTTTTCAGTTACATGCATAAGTACATTTTAAAAATACTTCTGTAGCACAGTGCATCCTCATTTTACGTGATTCAAGTCTGCTTACTTTGTCTCATGCAGCGTCCTTGTCCTACATCCAGGAGGGGAGATCTTTGAATCTGGAAGGATATAAGCATTTTCTTTCTTCTCAATGGTTAAATTTTGTTCTGGATCACTGATTACAGCCCTATACAGGAAAATAAAAAGTCTGCAATTAAAACTGATAAGGTATTCATATATTTATAAGTAGTTTGAAAGGGTCATATCCCAGATGCAAATTGACACTACTGTCAATATGTTTTTATCAAATATAAATAAATTTAATTATTAAAAACATTGGCTATAAAAAATAAATATTCTTCTCTTTTTCCGTAAGCATTATCCAAAACTAAATTGAAACTTTGGAGGGAACTAAGAGCTATATGTCTTTCTCTTGCTATTCTTTAAACAACAGATACTGTGTGGGTTTCTGATAATATAAGGGGAGAGAACAAAGGCAAAGTAAATTTGGAATATAAAGTAATAAGTCCCACAATAGAAAGAAACATAGAGACAGATGACTTATGTCCCGGAAGACAAGATGTAGAAAAGAGACATCTGCACTGACTCTTTAAAGGTGATTAGAAGTCACACCCAGAGAAGGAGGAAGGCCACCATAAGCAGAGAAACAAAGTGCAGGAGGTCACAGATGAGATCAGCAAGCCCAGAGTGATCACCGATTCCAGACCAGACCGCCTGGGGCGAATCCCACCTCTGACAACAGTCAGCTGCAGGGTCTTAGTACTCACTTAGCTCTAGGCTAGAATTTCTTCATTTGTAAAAGACATAATAATGGTAAGTCCTTCAAAGAGCTGTTATGATGTTAAATAAATCAGCTAACAGTCTAGGAACAGGCCTATTATCTAGCGAGTATTACACAAGGTCCAAGAGCAGAGGCTCTGCCTCCAGTTGCCCTTTTACTCCATATTTTACTGAATATAAATAAACACAGAGGCATGACAGCCTAGCACGTGGCATCACAAGAGGCTGGAAAGGAGATAGTACAAGTCTGTACCAAGGTGGTAGAAACAAGAGTTGAGAGAAGAAATAAGACCTAGCATTCGACAGATCATAGGGTGCCTATAGCTAACAGTAATCTATTGTACATTTAAACACAGCTAGAAGAGAATAATTTGAATATCTGTACCATAAAGACAAATTTTTAAGGCAATAGATATCTCAAGTACACTGACTTGACCTTTACAAATTATGTGAATGCATTAAATTACAGCATGTACCACAAAACTATAAAAAAAAATAACAAATTCAAGAAACACTGGCAGAGCTATGAAATCAATTGGATTTCAGGTCATAAGATAGAAAGACTTTACACACACCCACATGGGAGATGAGATTCAATTAATAATCTGAGGAATGTGGGAGTCACGTTGTGGTTTGGGTTTGTTATTGTCATCATTAATACTATTTTAAGGTAGGGAAGATAGGTTATACCCATGCCCTCCCTTTCCTCCTTACCCAGCTTGGATTCCTTGATTCATCAAAATACTAAGTTTTATACTCCCTAGCAATCTTGCACTCTCTAGGTTTTTTCCTACTTGCCAGTAAAACTCCAAGTCTCAATGACTATGATAATTGGACAGGATAAAAGAATAAATTAGTCCACATTTTTTGCAAAGGTATCATGAGTCTTCAAAAAAAATGAAAGTGAAAAAGTAATTTGGGGATAGAAGGATTTATAAATTTATTGAGTAATTTCCATTGTTGGAACATTCAGAAAAATCTTCAGGTATTTTTACTACATATTATCAATTCTATTCACTTTTGGGTCAAGTTATGAACCAAATCTTCTTTTGAAGATGAGCATTAAGACTTTTTTTTACATTTCCCAAATGAAAAAGGCTAGCATTAACCAAAAAGTGGGCACCTATTCTATTCTCACACTTTATCTAGAAGTTCTGTGTTAAATGTATACGCACGGAATGTTAGAGTTATAAGAACTCTTAATGTTAGTTTGGCAGAGGCACAGATGAAGACATAAAGAAGAAAGGAGAGTGAGTGAGTCACATAGTGCAACCCAGTTCTGCTGACTCTAATCAAGTCTTCTTTTCCAGTTCACTCATTCCTTTGCCCATTGAACAAGTATTTACGATGCAGCTACCATGTTAGGCAATGGGAATGCAACAACGAACAACGCTGCCCAAGAGCCCTGCTCTCATGGAGGTCACACTGCAAAGAGGCAGACAGACCATTGTCAAGACAAATACAGAAACATATAAGGTAAATTACACATACCTAGGGAGAAAACATGAAGTTGTAAGAAACTATGAAGTGTTGAGGAAGAGGGTATAAATCTTTTACTTGGTGGCCCACTTGATTTCTAAATAAAGATAGAGGTGAAATGCATAAGCAGCCATGTAAATTTCTGGGGAGAAAGCATTCCAAGCAGAGGGGAAAATAAATGCAAAGTGCCCGGGACAGGAGTGGAACCTGGTATGCTCCAGAACAGGGAGCAAACCAAATGGCTGGACCGGCTGGATGAGAGGAGAGTGGATAGGGCGAGACACAAGGTCCAATTGTGGGCTTGGACAGATAGTATTGCTGCCCCAATTGTCCAGCATCCCTGGTCCATCTCCTTGCTGTGGACTTCCTCTTTCTCACCTCTCAGCTTTAAGCTTGGGCATTTGACTTGCTCTGACAGCTGCATGGCTCTGCTCATCTCAATTGAACTGATCAAGCAAGCGTGGGGATGGTGTCAGTTAAGTAGACCAGCTGCATTTGTAGAAGCAACTTTTTCTTAAAACAAATGGGCTTGGCTGGGCACAGCAGCTCACACCTGTAATCCTAACACCCTGGGAGGTCAAGGCAGGAGAATCCCGTGAGCTCAGGAGTTCAAGACCAGCCTGAGCAAGAGCAAGACCCTATCTCAACTAAAAGTAGAAAAATTAACCCAGCATTGTGGCAGGCACTTGTAGTTCCAGCTAGTCAGGAGGCTGAAGCAGGAGGATCATTTTAGCCCAGGAGTTTGACGTTCCTGTGAGCTATGATGATGCCACAGTCCTCCAGGTGACAGAGAGAGACTCTGAAAAAAAAAAAAAAGAAAAGAAAGAAAGAAAAAAAAGTAAGGAAGGAAGGAAGGGAGGGAGGAAGAAGAACACTAGTGGGCTAGCCAAGCAGTGTCCTCTCAGAACGGCAGAAGCACTAAAAGACAAATGGAAACACAGGAGACTTCTTAAGGTCTAAGCTTACTGACAGTATCTCATTTGCTCATATACAACTAGTCAAAGAAAAGAGGAAGATACGGCCAAGCCAACACTGGACAGCTAACCTGAAACTTGGACAGAAAAAGGACACTGCACTATGCCACCCCCACCGCCAAGCTGGGAAAACGAGAAAAAACTCTAAGTCCTTTCATGGGAAATCTGGGCACCTGTCTAGCCTTGAAAAGAGAATGAGCATCCTGATTAGCAAGATAATGACAACAGTCCTCAAAGCAAGCCAGAGTAAAGAGGTGTTTTAGTTTCCTGTAAAAGGTAACATCTTAACATCTGTTCTTCAGTTGTTTTTCAGAAATCCCCATCAGATGAAAAAGATTAAGGGGGAACTGAACACTGAACTCTCACTACCCCGAGGGGCTGGAGAGAGAGCCACACCCATCTTACCATTACTTTTTCTCCCATCAAAGAATCTCTGAATCTACCTATGACCTATAAATCCCCACTTCAAGATATCTCCCTTTTTCGAAGCAAAATCAATAAATAACCTCCACCTCTAATGTACAGTTTTACCTGCAACTTCTGTCTTACTGACATGTACCCCTGTCTTTAAAAATCCTTGCTTATTAACCAGTTTGATGAAATTATATATAAAACCAGTACATTAATGCATTAATGTACACAGCTATGATTTAATTAAAAAAAATCCTTGCTTGTAAACCATCAGAGTTCCAGTCTTGGAAACCATGCAATAAAATGCCTTCCCCCCCACCCATTGCAACTCTTGAGCTTCAGTGTCTGACTTGGCAACACCAGGGAAGTGAAGCCAAATTTGGTTTAGTAACAAAACTCATGAGCAAAATGGATGATTTTTTAAGCTACTAAGTTTCGTGGTGTCCTAGAACCAACACATGGACCTTAGAGGTTTTAGTATGACTGGGATGGGAAATTACTGAACGGTTGGTCTGGCTTGCCTGTTAAACAGATGACTTGGTGCTGGGTTGAAAACAAACACAGACTGCAAAGACACAGTTAGAAGTGACTAAAATAATCCAGGAGACAGAAGATAATGGCTGGAACAGGATGGGGGCAGCAGAAGTAGTAAATTTATTTTGATGGTAGGATTTAAACAGTATTTGCTGACAACCTGGATAAAGGATTTGGGAGAAGGAATCAAAGTAATCACCAGGATTTGGGGCCTAAAAAACTTGAAGAATGAAGATACCATGGAGGAAAATTAAAGATGGTCATCAGGGAAAAGAGGGCAACGAACTTTCAGAAACTCAGATTGGGAAAAGTGAAATTGAAATCTTAGGATACGGATGGTTTTCAAGGCAGGATACAGGACGAGATCACTTAGAAAACAAATATAGAAAAGGTCCTGGAATCGAGCCCTTTGGGACTCCTACATTTAAAGCCGGGAAGATGGAGAAGGACCAGGAGAGACTGAGAAGTGGAGGCGGGAGGAAGACAGGCAAGTGCGGTGTGCAGGGAGCCACGCGGAGAAAAGACAAGGGTTTTGAACAGGAGAAAAGTTCCAGCTAAACCATATGCCGCAGATAAGTCAAGTAAATGAGAACTGAGAAATCACACAGGTCTAGCAAGAATTGCCACTTACAGAGGAAAGTCCTGTTGGCGTGTGGCGGTGCAGACGCAGACAAGTTCAAGAGGTAACAGAAGGAGATACTTGGAGACTCTTAGGATAGTTACTTGTTTTAAAGAATTTACTTGAAAAATATGCATGTAGGGCATCATTCTTTCTGTCACCTAACTTTTTTCATAGTTAAACTTAAGTCTTAATTTTTCCTTGACGATTTTTTAGATTATTCCAGCCTTTCTTCTGAAATCCTATCATATTTCCGTATTATCATAGAAATTGGTGTTGTGCATGCTAGTTATCTAGTTTTCCCAGAGGGTTTAAAATTCTTGACAGTCTCACAGTCCTCAGATTTCACCAAGGCACCCTGGGGTACTACAGTGAACTTACAGGGGCACTGTGGGACGGTTTCAGTTTTTGAGGGGAGCAGGGTGACACCTGACATCACTTGTCTATACCAGGTAAACTACTAGTCCAAGGTAGCTCACAGCTTCAACAGGATAGCTATGCCTCTTTGGTGATGTTGCATCTTTTCAAAGCTGGGTTTTCTATAGTTGTTGTAATAAAAAGAAAATGTGTGAAAATCAATGTAGAAAGTAAGGTTGCCAGTAATGGAAATGATTCTAGGATTTGAGAGACTGCCCAGTGCCCCAAAGATGCACCCCGACCATTAGTAATTAAAATATTTTATTTCAATTTATATGTATATTTTTCAAATGTCCATTAAGTTGTTATTGATATTATATTACATGGGTTTCATTCATAAAAAACAAATTTGATGGAAACTTTCTGAATGGATTTGTATCACTAGTCACCAGTGCTCACCTAGACAAGTGGTCTATCATCACCTGCTCTGCAACTGCCTGCTTTTTCTTCTCTGCAGCCACAATTTCCTGAGAAGATAAAATAAAGACAGTTTCGTTGGCCATAAAGCATAACAAAGCCATAGTTAATGCAAAAGTCATAAAACATAAATTAAAAATCTCTGATTTCCTTCTCAAATATACATTACTTTCCATCATTAACAAATTTAACTTCCAATTACTTAATCTACAACAGCCTTCGTTTCCTAAAAAGTAAGGCACTTAAATTTTGATAGAAATAACCAGATATTTCAATGATCTGCCTCTGCATTTCATAAAGTCATATTAAAGGAGGTAGAGTACGAATGACGCCCTTCCCCTTTCTTCTTCCCTGCACAAATGTTCTGCGAAAGGCATCTTCACCTGCTCTAAGAAGAACCCCAACACTGACACAAATGAGCTTGGTCCAAAACTTCACAGAAGAAGAGGCCAAAACTGAGTTTGAATCGTTCAACCTTATACTAAAAGCAAAACAATACGAAAACTCCTATTATTACAAGTAGAATAGGTTTGTATATCTCTCCTTTGTTTATAATGCATTAATAACACTCAATCACCTTTTCTCAATTACTGGCGATTAAACTGTCTTCATAGTATTTTCTTGCTTTTCTAACTCATCTGAAAGTATTTTCACAACTTCTTAGGTAAAAATACTTCATATCAAATTGAAAAATTAGGAATTACCCACTTCCAATTAGACTATCACGAAACTATAATGACGAAAATGTTTCTTTTGAGGGGAAAATAAAAAGATCTTTAAAAAGTAAGAAGTCAAAATAAAGCTTGTTCTACTTTTAGAATGTAAATGACTGCCAGCCCCATTGATCACAACAATAAATGGAATCAAGAAAGATCATGTTGTTTAAATTGAGGTTTTATAAGCTTCGGGAGACAGTTTTATTTAAAACTGACACAAACTGTCAACTAAGAATGTCTAAAAGCATATCAGAAAAACAAAAAGTAAAAACTTGTAAGAGCCCTGGAAAAGTTTAGCACAATTATTTAAATCAGTGGTTCTCAACCTTCCCAATGCCGCAACCCTTTAATACAGTTCCTGTGGGTCGCAACCCACAGGTTGAAAACCGCTGATTTAAATGTTAGCTACACTGAATTTAGGGTTTTGATTTGATAGAAATTTAAGGTGCATAGTTTACACATGCAAATATGTCCCATATAAAATTTATGTCATTTAATAAATCTTCTGTTGCTCTCTAAGCTCATGCCACTTTATAAGGCTTTTATGGAACAATAAATTTAAAACCACATTTAAAAATTTTATTAAAAATTATGCAACTTATAGGGAAAGCAATATATATTACTACCTTGGACTAGTAGTTTACCTCATGTATTAGTGATGTCAAATATTACCATGTTTCCCTGAAAAACTGAAAATATAATGTCTAAGTGTGATTCAGAATGTGCACATGGACTAAAACATGGAAATTATATGCAGAGAAAATATCCACTAACCAGACAGAGTATAGATGGGAATCCCAGAGCAAGGCAAAGAATAGGAGATTAATGACTGCCATGGAGTCTGTGCAGAAAGCCTGCCTGAGTGCTGAAGCTTATGGTGGCTTATAAAGGTCAGAAAGGTTAGAACCACCCTCAGGCACTTTGATTTAGAAGTCTTGGAAACACCGAGCAGATTAGAAGCTGAAGTCACACTGATGCAAGGATCTGTCAACATCGAAAAATGACGTGACAAAGAGCTAATAGAGATGCATATAAAAATTACAGGTTCACTGCCTCAGTCATTCATTTAAGTAGTTAAAAATTAAATAGGTTTCCATCTACATTTCTGAAACAAATTGATGTAATTTCATATGCCTTGAAAGCTTATTTCTTGGGAGGAAAAAAAACAGATAAATGGGTGCTACTGCAATAAAGTAAAACTTACTTGAGGATGAATGTAAATACATTGCCACTAACAATGTGATTGTGAAGAACAGACACCCACTAACTTCAAGATGGCTTTGGATTATATCAAGAAAAATACCTGATGGGTTGTAAGTATTGGTAACATCCATTTCAAATATAACTTCAGGAATATATCAAAATAAGCCTTATTTGTGACACTATTTTGCTTTATGTAGTATCTTTTTAATGTTTAGAATAATCCTGGTAACACTCATTCTATTAGGCATAAATATATAAATAATATTAGGCATACAAAGAAATATGCATATGGTTTTAATAAAGGAACTATCCAAATCTGCAACTTAGAATGTCCACAGAAAATCAGTCCACCTAGTTTATAGATTGATTATATAACTCCAATTCAGAACCTAAGAGATTCTGGAGGATTGTGACCTCAATAAAATATATATTGTATTTCCACTCAATGATAATAATAATGTAACATTTGTTATAATTTAGTTATCTGAACTAGGATTTTCCAACCTGTGAGCTACCACACTGACATTCCATCAATCTGCTACAGTATATCAGATATGTTTAATCACCTAGGAGTGTCAGGGGTAGCCAGTAAATTTCAAGTAACACAGTTCCCTGAGCCCAGAACATTATGGAAATTTTATAATTATTTATTTGTACCGGAACTGATCTAAGCAATACTCATCAACCTAATTGATTTTGTAAAAGACATCATTTGAAGTTGATATTGAAAATCTGAAGTTTTGCTTTACTTTTTCTAAAAGAAAAAAAATTCAATGTCCAATTTTTTCCTTAACTAGCCTGAATTTCTCTAGTGTTAGCAGCTGATGACTTTCAAAAAAATAAGCAGGCGACTTTTTGCAGGAGGGAATAGTGCCAAATTAGCCCACTAGCCTAAATGGCATCGCAGCCAATTAACATTTCCGAGCTTGTTTGGAGGTCCTAGCAGAGGAGCACAGCTATACCCTTAATAACGAAGGGTCCTCTTCTACCAAGCAAGGTCACCCCCTTGGATAGAGCACAACTTTGAGGGGATACACATGGAGCACTATGAGAGCAAGATGACACCTTGCCAGCCAGATCAGCTGGATCAACCCTAGAGATCCATGGGATGACAGATGTTGCAGCCATTTTGCCCTCACATCTGATTTTAAACAGTATAAAACTAAATTTTTACAAACTCTCAAAGATTCAAGACAATTTTTTCACAAAATATATACCAAACACAAGTCAATCTTTTATAAAACAGGGACTCGATTTTCACATTATTGAATATCAACCTCAGCCCAAGTTCGATTGTTACAATTATTTATTCAATTATAAGTCTATAAAATCTTAGAGGAAAAATAATATCTCCATAGCTTATCAAATAAGTGGAAATGACGAGAACTTACTGCATCCAATTTTCTTGTACTCTGTTGAGTACTGTAAGGGTACATGTAGCCCTGCTGTAAGAGGACTTTCCTGTCCATAGTTGTGAGGTCGTCTGTGTCGGCTTCTTCACCTTGTACACACTAGACATGAAAGCAATAAATGAACATACACATACTTAGAATTCTGGTTTTTAACAAAATAGGGGAATAGATAACCATGAACACTGCCTGTGTTTAAATCCATAGATGATTTCTCTGTGCCTTGGTCTATTCATAGGGAAAATGAGAATTAACAATAGTAACTACTATTCTAGTAACTACTAGAAAAAAGATGGAGATATAATGGATATCGAACACTTAACAAAAAGCATGTGACAATATTAAATATAAAGGCAGCAACTACTATAACTGCTATTGACTGTGTTACATCTTTGTGAAATTAATTTTAAAAATCCATCAAAAAATTCAATTCCTAAATAAAACACTAAAAGATGAGTATAATCTTTGAGATAAGAATTTTGTGAGATGCTAAAGAGATGGGCACTAAATTTTTCTTAGAATAGGAGATGTACTTAAACTACCTTAAAAACTACAAAAACTCCCAATAGCGTAGCAACTTGTCAAAAACTTAATAGATTTCAAGAAATTTGATCTCCAGGGATTATTTTTACTTTAGACTTTCCTTGAAAGGTCACATTCCATCTTCACACTCTGCTATGTCTTCACAACTTTGATTGCTACATAAATTTTTAATATATATTTGTTAGTGATTTATTACCTGCCTCTCCTAATGTGAATTCCCCGGGGCAGGGACCTTGGCTGTCATTTTTGTGCCATACCCCCGGTGCCCAAACAGGCTCACACATAGTGAGCATGGACAAATAATTATTCAGTAAATGAATAATAAACCTTGGTTAATTACTTAACTATCTGGAAATCAATTTATGGGGACACTTTATACTTACATTTATTTATCTGCTAACATACCCATTTTTTTCTAAAAAGGGATTTATTTAAACAAGCTCCAGAAAAATGCCTAGCATTATATAAGGGAAATTGAGCAGATTAACTTAATATATGGGTTTAAGTATAAGCAGAGCACTGCATTAGAATTAGTCTGAAAATAACTTTTAAAAGGATTTTATCTTCTTCGCCTTGTTTTCAACCTTTTACAAAAGGAAAACAGTGAACTTTCCATCCCATACTTCAGAATCAATCTCCCCACCCCAGCCTGCCTCACGGTCTTCCTCCCACCCCCAGTTAATGGGAACTGCCCAAGCCAAAAGCCTTAGAGTCATACATTTTATAAAATCAATTTTAAAATATTTAATTGACAAATAAAAGTTGTACATATTCAAGGTATGCATAATGATGGTTTGACGTATGGATATATTGTGTGATGATTACTACAATCAATTAATTCATTCATCCATCACCACACAGTTACAATATGTGTGCATGTGTGTGTTTGTGTGGTGAAGCCACTTAAAATCTGCTGTCTCACCAAATTTCAAGTAAAAAATACAGTATTTGTAACCATAGCTACCATGTGTACATTAGATCCCCAGAACTTATCAATCTTATAACTGGAAGTTTGTACCTTTTGGCCAACCCAAGCTCAGAGCCTGGCAACCAACATTCGGCTTTCTGTTTCAGGGATTCAACCTCTTTAGAGTGCACGCGTAAATGAGGACAGACAGTTTTGTCTTCCTTATTTCCTGGCTTATTTCCCTAGCATAGAGTCCTGTGGCTTCACCCCGGGAGAGTCATTCTTGATTTTCCCTTTCTCTCAAGCCTACAACCAATCCATCTGCAAATATCAGCCCTACCGTCAGAATCTATCCAGAAGTTGGCTTTGCTAGACCACTCCTTACCCAAGTATGCTGCTGCCACCACCCAGGTTCAACCTACCATCACCACATCTTGCCTAGATTATTTTGGCAGCCAGCTCAAAGGTCTTCCTGCTTCCAGCTTTGCCCTATTCTCAATAAAACTTATTCTCAAATTGATAAGTCCTTACATGGCTTGAGGCCTCCTTCATCTGCCTCCTAGGCTTCCTTTAACTCTGACCAATCTCCTCTCTCTCTCTCTTGCTCTCCCTCCTCTGACCACACTGTCCTCCTCAATATTTCTTAAACACTCCAGCCTCAGTCCTATTCATGACACAGACTTTCTTACGACTGGCTTGCTCCTCACCTCTTTCAGTTGTGTACCAAAATGCTATCTTTCCAAAAGGTCCCTCCCCCTTGATGAACCTGTAAAAATTACTATCCCATCCCTGAAGCTCAAGCTTTCCTAGTTCCTTTCTATCCAAGGCATTTATCATCACCTGTCATATGAAACTGGTTGACTGATGAATCAATCTAATGATTGACTTTTTTTCTTCTTGTTAATCTCCTTTGTTCAGATATAAGCTCAGTAAGGGCAGAAACTTGTGTGCGTTTTATTCACTGACATATCCCCAGGGCTTGCACAGGCACCTTGCTTACCATTAAGCATTCAGTAAACTATTTGTTGAAATAATAAGTGAATAAATTATACTGATCATTTCTAAAATCAAGAAGGCGGGATTCTTACAGAATAGGTGAAAAAAAATACATCTAGAATGATTAATAATAATACAATTAGGAAATTAAGATATTTAATCTTCAGTGATTTTCATGTTTTACTTAAAGATGTTTCATTACTTTAACACACTCTCTGGCACACTAGAAAAACCATTGTTTTTCCTTGGGGCCATAGTATTTTATTAGGTCAAGATAGGGCAGGGCAGGGCAACCATAGTTCAGTGGTTAGGGCCCCGGCTACATGCTCTGGGGCTAGTGGGGTTGAACCTGGTCCCAGACTGCTAAACAAACAAACAAAAAAAATAGCCAGCATTGTGGTGGGTGCCTATAGTCCCAGCTACTAGGGAGGCTGAGGCAAGAGAATAGTTTGAGCCAAAGAGTTTGAGGTTTCTGTGAACTGACACCACGGCACTCAACCAAGGGTGACAAAGTCAGACTTTGTCTCAAAAAATTAAAAAGAAAAAAAAAAAAAGATAAGTCAGGGATGTGTGAACTACATATACCTTACAAGGTCCCAGGCTCAAAACTAGCATAATACAATTTTCATGGCAGTAAACGTGTTGAAAACATGTCTGCACTCAGCTATGAGCCAGATTTGTCACGACCATCAGCTACCGGCTATCAGGTATTGTCCTGGATCTTAAATATCTAACCTTAGTTTTTCTGTATCAGTAAAGTCAATTTCCACATTGTTCCGAGCTTACAGTTCTGGTAACAGGGACGTCTTTTCTTTTCAGAGACAACTGTTACAGAGTTAATTCATGTAATTAAAATAGAATTTACTAATCATCCATTTATACAGCAGTTTTGATTCTTAGAATGATACACTTTTAAAAGACATTAAATAAGTTGCTCAAACCCCTTAAATGCAAGATTGTCAGACAAAAAATCTATAGAAATCCTTTTTATAGAAGTTCTTCGGTAAGTCTACAAAGAACATATGAAACATAATAATTTTGTACTTTTAATGTAGATTTAAAAATCAAAGAAGCACAAAAGTATCTTTTCCAGCAGAAAATATGCATACATTGGCTGCAATAAAACACTTTATTCATGTCATATAAATTTTTACCAGTTGTATGGAAAGATCTGCAAGTGAGATTTGTTCCTCTTACAAACCAAAAGTAAACAAATATCCATTTGAACTGTGTTCAAGGAAATAAAAGTTTTACTTTGAAAAAAATTTGAACCGGGTCAGCACCCATAGCTCAGTGAGTAGGGTGCCAGCCACATACACCGAAGTTGGTGGGTTTGAGCTGGCCTGGGCTCAACAATGACAACTGCAACAAAAAATAGCCAGGCATTGTAGTGGGCGCCTGTAGTCCCAGCCACTCAGGCGGCTGAGGCAAGAGAATTGCTTAAGCCCAAGAGTTTGAGGTTGCTGTGAGGTGTGACACCACAGCACTTTACGGAGGGCAACACAGTGAGACTCTGTCTCAAAAAAAAAAAAAGAAAAGAAAGAAAAGAATTTGAGCCATTTTGCCGTCACTCAATAAAGCATGTGCTTATAGAAATGCTCATTCCTTGGGAGAAGATATTTGCAGGTTATGTCTCTGACAAAAGTTTAATAACCAGAATCCACAGAGAACTCAAACCTATGAGCAAGAAAAGAACAAGTGATCCCATCTCAGGATGAGCAAGGGACTTGAAGAGAAACTTCTCTGAAGAAGACAGGCCTACGGACACATTAAAAAAAATGTTCATCATCCTTAATCATCAGAGAAATGCAAATCAAAACCACTTTAAGATATCATCTAACTCCAGTAAGATTTGCCCACATCACAAACTCCCAAAACCAGAGATGTTGGCGTGGATGTGGAGAAAAGGGAACATGTCTGCACTGCTGGTGGGAATGCAAACTAATATGTTCCTTTTGGAAAGATGTTTGGAAAACCCTTAGGGATCTAAAAATAGACCTGCCATTCGATCCTGCAATTCTCCACTAGGTATATATATCCAGAAGACCAAAAATCACTTTATAACAAAGATATTTGCACCAGAATGTTTATTACAGACCAATTCATAATTGCTAAGTCATAGAAGAAGCCCAAGTACCCACTGACCCATGAATGGATCAATAAATTGTGGTACATGTACACCATGGAATATTATGCAGCCTTTAAAAAGATGGAGACTTTACCTCTTCCGCCCATTCAGTGAGAGCACCCCCCTCCCCTCCCCTCTCTCCTTTCCTCATTACCCCTCCCCTAGATTGTATTGAAATCAGTTTTTCTTCTATGTGGGCAAATGTTCTCTTCTTTATGCCCAGTACTATTATACACATACACTGTGTTTCCAAACAATTCTTTCCAAAGATAAATATTGACTTCTCCTTATGAAAGTGATTACATTTATTATGTTTAATTTCCTTTTATATTAATGACTAGTGAATTCGTACCTAATTAATATTATATGAAAGTGTAACAACTTCAGTAATTCATGATGTTAAAAAAAAAATCATTTCCCCAAATGAGGCAAAAGACAGTCATGAAGTAAAGACAGTTTTAGAATAACAAGGTCACTAGAAAGTCTGAAACAACTTTTCAACTTAAAAACTTAAACTATGAGACCAATTGAGTTCCAGATATCCAAATTAAATATATATACATGTATGATCATCTTATTTCCAATCCCAAAACAAGTGAAAAACTTTTATCAGAGAAAAGATAATTAAGTCACGTGGCTACAGTTTTGTTTCTGAAAACGGTAATAATAACCCTTTAAATTTGCATGTGAAGAACCAAATAATTAGTGTAAGCAAAATATGTAAAATAGACACACAGAAATAAACGTTAGCTGCTATACTTTCACAACGAAGAGAAGGACCTGTCACACACAAAGATATTTCCATAACACATGCAGTTTCTAAAAATTTCATTAGAATTTTATGAGGCCCCATCCATTACCTTTTCATCTATCTTATTTCCTGGGGATTGTTGATGAGCAGTATTTGATATTGTCTTTTCTGCATTTCTCTGGCTAATCTGTTTATATCCATCTCGCATTTCATTTTCATACTGCTGGTATTTTAGTTTATATTTGCTTGTTGGTGCTGGCAAGTTTTCAGGTTTTACATCCTGCTCCTATAGGTAAACGAAAAGCATGTTATCCACTAGGAAAAAAATAAAAATAATTATTTTCCTTATTAACATTAACAGGTTTATCATTTACTTTAGCATTTATGCCTTAAAAAGCAGACCATTACATGTTCTAAATACAGGTGACATTTAAAACATTCGGCTGATAAGGCATCACTGACCCAATCAGAGCAGACAGAAGTGCCTGGAATGGACTCAGGCCCTGGGCACCAGTAAGCCTACACCACTCTTTCTACCTGAGGATCACTAACAGTTCTAAAACAGTTTAAAAAGAGACACACTGACTCTTCTTCTCTGGAGTTTTAGATAAGTTTTATTTGTCCTGCCCCAGAAGAACTGCATCATTAATCTTTTTTTTTTTTTTTCCAGAGTAGACGCAGGGACTGGAGATCACTAATTCTGAGACCCCTGGTTGCCATTTCTAGAATTTTGGCAATTTCTACCTTCTGGGATTCTTGTTTGTCTGCTGCATGTCCATGGAAATAAAAGATAATAAAACCACGGGATAAGAGAAATATAAATATTGACTTAAGGAGGGACAGACACTCCAAAAGGAAAACATAAAACCAGTCCAACCCCTGAAAAGTACTGAGGATACCCCAGAGGAGCAAGATGAGCCAAAGCTTCAGGGTGACAACCGTAGCCAGACACCGACTAGGGCATTCATTATTCATGCAGTTTTTCAAAATGCAACCGAGGAGAACGTGAACAGAGCCAGCTACAGGAGGAAGATGAATATAGACAGAAAAGTCCTACTTAGAATACTGGTCAGGACTACATTTGTAACATGAAATGAAACATTAGATATATTTGAAGCATAAATATGCCCCAAGGAAATGCCACTAATTATGTCTACGGTATTAAGATGTCCCAAGGAGACAATCTTACCCATAGTATCTCAGTAGCCTAAAGTATGAATCCATTTCTAAGAGACCAATCTCATAATGTGGAACTAGAAAGATCTGATCTAACATTTTGCCATATTTTAAAACTTCCTGGAATCCGTATTAGGAGATAGCTGTTCTTTACCATAAGAAGTTTTAAAATGCCCATTCCCTTGAGTGAAAAATTGTAAAACAAACTGAAATTATTTCACCAACATTATTGCCTGAGATTTGAATAAACAAAATATATAAACTTGGTAAAATATAGATATAATAAAACTTCTGAAGTAAATACTGTGCTAATAAAGCATACTGTGGTTCTAAAAGATGATCATTGGCAATAAATACTAACCAGTTCCTGTAGACGATGCTGAGTGCATGGTGTCTGACGTGGTGTGACCCAGCCAAGGGTAGACAATGAATTTGGTGGCTTAAAATGTATCTGTGCTGCACTAAGAGGAATACGTGAAAAGTCATCCTAAAAAATAAAATGTAATAATGCTTATTATATGCTATATGTGAGATTGTGTCTGAATGCTCATCATATTTAGTAGTAAGTAAAAATTACCTCATCATCAGAGTCAACAAGACTTCCCAAATCAAGTCGTGGAACCCTGAAAGAAATAATTCATGCATCCCACAACTTTAAAATGAGATTTTAAGAATAGCAAATCATATATGTTACATTCTATATCAAAAGGTACACGGAAGCCAATGGTGTGCTGATTCCTACTGACCTGTGATAGGCTTTTGTTAAACGTTCGGTAATTTTTCAAGCTGGTTGCTAAATATAGACATCATTAAAAATAAAATTATACAAAGGTATCAATAAATTATGTTAAAAACAAAAGGCCAGGTGTGGTGGCTCATGCCTGTAATCCTAGCACTCTAGGAGGCCTAGGAGGTGGACTGCTGGAGTTTAGGAGCTCCAAAGCAGCCTTAGCAAGAGTGAGAGCCTGTCTGTATTAAAAATAGAAAAAACTAGCCAGGCATGTGGCAGGCATCTGTAGTCCCAGCTACTCAGGAGGCTGAGGCAAGAGGATTGCTTGAGCCCAAAAGTTTGAGGTTGCTGTGAGCTATAAATGACACTGTGGCACTCTACCCAAGGTGATAGAGTAAGACTATCTCCAAAAAAAAAAAAAAAAAGTGATAAATACTCAAAATTCATTACTTCCTAATGATTAAGTTTATTTACATCTATCGTATCTGTATGGTGGTATAATAGTGTACATTCCTTTCCAACTTCATGCTCAATGATATTACAAAGATAACTTCAAATCTGCCATAGTGAGATTATTTACATTGAAATTAGCAAATGGTGTGAATCAGAGCTTGATTTATCATTGGGTTGATTTCTGAAACTTGCAAAAGTGGTGGAAAAAACATTAATAACAGGGGTTAAACTTACAAGTGTGCTATGGCTATAGCTATCACACAGTCAACAGCGTCAAAATGAACTGGCAAAATAATTGTTTTGGTACTCAAAACTAGTATTTGTTTCAGTAAAGAAAACATTCACATCACTTTGCAGTAAATGGAAATATCAACCAGCATTCATGTTGGAACTACCTGGTTCATCAGCTACAGCCATAGGTTAGGCTAGAGGTATACAGTTCTGCAAAAAACAAAGGTAGCATTCTAGGACAATCTGTTGGCTTTATGGAATTTACATTAATGGGTTTATAACAACATTAGTATTTATAAATTATTTACTATAATTGTTTTATCACTCAAAGTTATAACCAATGTAATGCAAACTTCAATTCATTTATAATGGACAAGTAAAATTTATAATTAGGTTATAATACACTTTCAGAAAACTAGTTGTTAAACATTTTCCAGCACACAATTGACACAGCCATTGTTACACTCTACTCTTTATGTCTAGATGAAAATACAGGTATCTATTACACAGAACCACATAAAATTGTTGGTGTTTGTTAATTTTTAGTCTCTAGAAATGTCAGTGCTGTGTGGTTCAGCCTAGTAAATTACTGAGTTTATAATTTTTATTTTCCAAGAAATCCTATAATCTAAAATATTTGGAAGAATATAAAAATCCTATCATTCCAAATCTTAAAAGACAAAAATAATATAAGATGTGAAACATAAATTAATGTTTTCTAGAACAAAAAATAAAATAATTTTAATAAGATTGCAAAATTGCCATATTCCTCTAAATTAAAGCACAGAGTCATCATTAAATTCATTTGGCTAAACCATTACAAAAGGGAAAACATTTAAAATGTTTTGTTAATAAATACATTTAGTTAAATTTGGTAAATCAAAAAAAAAATTGTAACTTTTCCAGGGAAATATAAAAATAACGTTCCAGAAAATATAAAACAAAGAAAATATTATTTATCACAAAAGCTAGTTTAATTTTGCCATAGTAATTTTCAGGCCATCCATATGCATATAGACTTCTGTGACATACAATCATAGCTTCATGTATAATTTTGTTTCCTTATTTAACTTGTCAGTGTATTATAAATAGCCCATTAAACAGTTCAAATGTGATGAGAGGTGACTTACACTGGTGGGTGGGAATTATGGATTGCCCATGATTCAGAAGTCCACTCCTGCTTTAATGTAAAAAATAAATAAATAAATAAATAAAAAGAATCAGTATAAATATACCTTACCCTTTTAGAGATGAGCAATGAGTGAATAAATGCAGTAAAGCTAAAATTTTTCTCAGTAAAATCTATGTAAGAAATACTTATGAAGCCCCTTCTTCTGTGCTTGAGACACAAATAAAAAGGTAAGCCAGACAGACAATCCCTGCCCACCTAGCACTCTGCTGGGGAAGGCATTCTCTCAAATAAACAATAGTGGAAATAAGTCTTTGACAGAGCAACTTTATAGCACGTGTGCCCTGCCTACTCTAGGGAATTTAGGAATCTTTTCAGGAAAAAAAAAAAAAAAAGAAAAAGGCAACCTTTAAAGGAAGTTCTAAATGATGTGGAGGAGTTATTAGGTAGAAAAGGGAAGAGAGAAAATTGCTTCAGCCAGGAAACAACCTGTTTTCCACAGGCCCACAGGCCCACAGGCAAGAGTTAGCACTTAGAAGAGGGTGAAATCCAGAGTATGAGTAGATAAGGCCCAAACTGCTACAATCTAATAAAAGTTAAGGAATTTGAACCTTGTCTTAAAGATACTGAGAAGACACCAGGGCTTCAAGCGAGGAAGTGACATATATATACACACATACATATGTATGTGTACATATACATATACATGTGTGTGTGTGTGTGTGTGTGTGTGTGTATGGAGGGTGCCAAAAAATTCAATACGTTTTAAGAAAGGAGAAATTAAAATTATTAAACTTATAACATTCAAGTGACATTTGACTTCTGCAATTACAAGAGGCACTCAGGGTGACTTGTATTCATCTTTTTTGTTATGGATATATATTGAATATTCCAATGCAAATACCATTTTTTCCCTTCTTAAAAGGAGTGTACCTTTGTTGACACCCTCTGTATATGTTTCTGTGTTTGTAAATGTTCTATCTGATTGCCAAAAAAAATATGCAAAGACATGAAAATCACAGCAACTTTAGCCATTATGGAATAAATGATATGTGTGTGTCTCAAGAAAAATTTAAATTAATAAAGCCAGGAAATCATTCATCAGCACTTAAACCTTACTTCTTAAATGTTAGTGAATATAAATTGCTTTTGTCATATTGACAGCAAGCACAGAAATTACATTCCAGACTGAGCTTCATCACGCTAATTGACCATATCACTGAGAGAATACAAATTCAACACAGCATTAACTTTAATATGCCATTGTCTTAAATGCTTTCTAATAAATAGTTAAAAGGTGGAAATGATAAAACTAAACACTAATCATTTAAATAGAAAAAATATCCATATGATGCAGATTAAAAGAGCAAAATGATGTGTGTTCAGCACACATCAAAGATTTTCTTTATTCTATTTGTCAAGTCATGACCTCAGCATGTCATGACATCATCTAACTTCAGGGAATAAAAACAGAAACTTTAGAAAGCTAAATAGGGTATAGCTGTAGTTGCCATAATCACAATTATTATTCCTCAGAAAATGTTTTAGTAGCTACAGATAGTCTTCTAAAGTCACAAGCATAATATTAGAATAGCAGTTACCTTTCTCATCTAGTTCCAATAGGATTCTACTCTACAATTCAGAATAAAGATAATTTATAGCTTATACATTCCTAAGCCAGGAATCAGCAAACCTAAGGCTCACAGTCCTGTTTCTGCAAACCGTCGCCCTCACTTGTTTACAAACTGTCTATGGCTGTGTTCACATTACAACAGTGAAGTTGAAAAGCTGCAACAGAAACCACACAATGCATGAATACTCATCAAAAATATTTACTCACATGGCCCTTTATGGGAAAAGTTGGACATTTTCTCATACTGTCTTTTTCATCTTTTATTATAAGTTATTTCAATGTTATTCCTTAAAATTATCACTTTATGTCTATACCATACTTCATTCTAGGGGTTGTGCAACAATTTATCTTGTGTTTTTCAATTGCTGCATATCTTTCAATTTTTTGGCTATTTTTTAAAAAGCATTTCAAAAATACCTTTTTTATTTATTTTTTTCTACATTTTGGATAATTTAGTACATATTATCAGGTCTGAGATTGCCTGGATCAAATAACTGAAAAAAGAATATAGTTCAATACACACTATCAATCATGTTTCAAATCATGTACCAATTTACAATGTATCATCGCTAGTTCCAAGTGAATGATACTTTTAATATTACCTTTTACCTCAAATTTGACATAAAGTATATCATTATGTTAACTTGCATTTCCTTGATAATCAGAGAGGCTGAACAACTTTTTATGTTCTCATCTCCTACATGTATTTATCTATTGCTAGCATTTGTAATGATGGTATTTTTAGCATTAATAAGTCTCATTTTTTTAAACAGAGTTTATGTCTCATTTCTAGCTCATTTTACACCACTTGAGAAATAGCATCTAGTAATTTGGTATTTTGACACTTTGTGGAGAGAGTCTAAGAGACCATAATCTGGACAGCTGGAACAAATTTTTCCTTCAGGAGCAAGCTCTAATAAGCATACTTAACTCTACCACTAACTGAACCTTCCTAGTAGAGAGAAAAAGGCACCAGGCACTTAAAGGCACTTAAAGGTAGGTAATATTTGAGCAGAACAAGGTCACTATAGCAGTTATTATGTTAAGAACCAGGAAAATACTGAAACTTCAATATTATGGTAACCAAACAATCGGGCAGAAATGTTGTAATACTGTGCTTGATATTTTGGGTAACAATGAGGGCTTCTTTGACTCAAATTACCAAGGAATTCAGATTTAACTCATCCCACAAGAGACCATAAGAACCTCAAAGCATTAACTCCTTCACATGAGAAAGATGGTTCAACACAAACTAAGGAGCACAGGTCTTAAAGTCAAAACTGGAGTTCAAAATCTGGCAAAATGCTTCATCTCCAAGAGCCTTAATTCTTTCATACCTAAAAACAGGTGAGTCATAGTACCTAAATCAAAGGTATGCTGTCAGAATTAAGTGACATGAGTTGTTTAAACATTTATCATGATCACTGGCAAGCAGTAGGTATTCCAGTATTTAAAAACAATAAAAACAGCAAGAAGATACATATCACTTTTATATACTTCCAAATTAAATTTGATATTAAATACTTACCCAATTCTGTGGTGGGAAAAGTAAGTTTAAACATGCCCTTAATTAATTAATGAAATACCCAACAGTGAATTATGAAGGTTGAAAAAAATACATAAAAATCCTAATACTAAAAACCAAGATTCTCTTTCCATCTGGCTAACACAAAATGTAATATTGGCTTTCCAAAATAATTTAATTTTGGTTTAAATATAAAAATAGCAAGTTAAATTATCCATACTTGATGCCCTCTCCACCTTCTTTGCCTGTCAAAATTCTGTACATTCTTCCAAAGAATACAGATGTCATTCCTCACCGAAGGCTTCTCTAACCCTACATTTAACCATTCCTTCTTTGAATATCCATATATTTTGTACCTATTTCTGTAGTTGAATTTAACACTGTTGGAATTATAAATCTTGCCTACAAGACTAGAGCCTCCTTGAGAGAAATCTTCTCATTTATTGCTGGGTCTTTTACATTTAGCCTTGTGCCAAGCACATTGGTATGTACAAAATAATTAAATTCAAAAGAACCCATTTAAATGGGATTCCATCTTAAATAAACACAATGGCTAGGGTACAGTGATTCATATCTGTAATCTCAGCGCTTTGGGAGGCTGAAGCAGGAAGATCACATGAGCTCAGGTGCTTAAGGTTACAGTGACTTGTGATTACACCATTGCCTCCAGCCTGAGTGACAGAGCAAAACCCTGTCTCTAAAAAATAAATAAATAAAGTTTAAAAGTAAACATAAAATACACTTTAAAGGAAGTTTGGTTTATGATCTTTCAAACTTCCTCTGACTATCAACCATCAAAATTATTTTCAAATTTTTAATAATATCAAATATTTATGCTTCACATTATATATATTAAAAAAAGCAGGGCCAGGTGCAGTGGCTTATACCTGTAATCCTGGCACTATGGGAGGCCAAGGTGGGTGGAGCTCAGGAGTTTGAGACCAGCCTGAGCAAGAGCAAGACCACATCTCTAAAAATAGCGGGGTGTTGTGGTGGGCACTTGAGCCCAAAAGTTTGAGGTTGCTATCAGCTGTGATGCCATGCCACTCTCCTGAGTGCCACACAATGAGACTCCATCTCAAAAAAAAAAAAAAAAAAAGCAGGATACGAAATTATATATGCAGTTTACATTGGGGTACCTACTATGTAAATCCCCTAAAATGTTAAACATTGCTATTTTCTTCTTTCTCTATTTTTCTCTTTTTATATTTTATGTAGATGTATAGATAATTTTTCAAATAACACTAATAAGACAATAAGTTTTTTAAAAAATAAAACTAACTCAGATGGTGCCTGTGGCTCAAAGGAGTAGGGTGCTGGCCCCATATACCAGAGGTGGCAGGTTCAAACCAGGCCCCAGCCAAAAAATAAATAAATAAATAAGTAATAAAACTAACTCAAGCAGTGGCAAATTTTCACATAATTATTATCTTCAATTTTGCTAGTTCCATTCTTCAAATCTTAAATGTTTATCCTAAGAATTTGTTTTAGTCATCATAGAAAAAGACATAACGAAAGCATCAGAAAATAATTGAATGAATCATCCTGAAACAGGGAAATGATATTGCTCACATACTTGGAGAGGCTTCTTTCCTCCAGAGAATGGTGGAATTTGGCTCCTAGAAGCAGCAGCAACTCCTTTACTCACTAAATCCATTCACATCCGTGCTATCAGGCAGTCTACTTCGAAAAAAGCAAAATAAATATAAAGTAATTCTTAACCTCATTTTAAATAAGCCATACAAATGACATAATAATATACCACATGGAAAGCAATCATCTGGTTAATCGCTTTTATTTCTTTCACCAGAATCAGCTATTTGTAAGGCAGTTAAATTATGCCCTGTGGGTGTCTAATCACACGGCCCTAAAGAAATCCACATCTTAATCCTTGGACCCTGTGAATATGTTACCTTACATAGAAAAGAGTCCTTTTCAGGTGCGATTAAGAATTTAATTTAAACCTTTTTATATGAAAGCTATAACC